CACCGTGTTACAGACCCGGGTGAACGGTTCCACCCAACCGCACCGTGTTACAGACCCAGCTGAACGGATCTACCTAACCGCACCGTGTTACAGACCCGGTTGGATAGATCTACCCAACAGCACCAGGTTACAGACCTGGCTGAATGGATCTATGCAACCACACCGTGTTACAGACCCAGCTGAACGGATCTACCTTACCTAACCGCACCAGGTTACAGACCCGGCTGACCGGATCTACCCAACTGCACCGTGTTACAGACCCGGGTGAACGGATCCACCCAACCGCACTGTGTTACAGACCCGGGTGAACGGTTCCACCCAACCGCACCATGTTACAGACCCAGCTGAACGGATCTACCTAACCGCACCGTGTTACAGACCCTGCTGACCGGATCTACTCAACTGCACCGTGTTACAGACCCGGGTGAACGGTTTCACCCAACCACACCGTGTTACAGACCCAGCTGAACGGATCTACCTAACCTACCTAACCGCACCGTGTTACAGACCCGGCTGGATAGATCTACCCAACAGCACCAGGTTATAGACCTGGCTGAATGGATCTATGCAACCACACCGTGTTACAGACCCAGCTGAACGCACCAGGTTACAGACCCGGCTGACCGGATCTACCCAACTGCACCGTGTTACAGACCCGGGTGAACGGATCCACCCAACCACACTGTGTTACAGACCCAGCTGAACGGATCTACCCAACAGCACCAGGTTACAGACCCGGCTGAACGGATCCACCCAACCGCACTGTGTTACAGACCCGGCTGAACGGATCTACCCAACAGCACCAGGTTACAGACCTGGCTGAATGGATCTATGCAACCACACCGTGTTACAGACCCGGCTGGACAGATCTACCTAATCATGCCTTAGAAGAAGAAATAGCAGGCAACCGGCTCCCTAGCACCAGCCACTGAGCACACATGGTGCTTGTAGGTCCTGCCCCCAGGGTGCGGTTTCTGCCACCCCACTTCATGCCACCCTCCCCCGCCCCCACGATGCTGGTCCTGGTGGACTCAAAGACCAAGGGCTTGGCGTGGGGCCCGTGTCAGGGTGGGTCTGCTGTGCTGGGGACTAAGTCTTGTGTTGGGCTATTTCTGCTCCAGTTCTGGAGAAGACTCTGTCGCTTCTATCAAAACGTGGTCAGGAGGGTGCTCTGAGGGCCTAGTCGCACGAAGCTGCACTGCAATCCTGTTTTAACCCACCAGATGCTCCGCTGGAGAAGGAGAAAGCTCCTTTTGTGCCAGTTGGATCCAATTCAATACACAACGGTTGGGGAGGGTCGGGGGGAACACAAACAGAACAAGCTGGGAGGCTATGTGGGGGAGCCACCTCCCACACCGCCACCCCCAGTGCCCCATCTCTCACCTGCTCTTAGAGCTCTGTCTGGGTGGGGTCAGCACCAGCAGGGAGGACAGGGCTGGGCTGGGACCCAGGAAGTGCCAAGGGCACGTGGGGGCCACGGGCAGGACACCACTTGTCATTACCCTGCCAGCAGGTCTAGCGGGCACCATCCCTCAGTTACATCATGTAGCCCCTGAGAGACACAGACACCCCAGAACCTGGACCTCACCCCCCCCACATGACCCTCACCCAAAGTGTCTTCTTCCCCTAACAGAAAGTTCTAGCCCTTCATGGGTGCATGATGGGGAGAAGTGCATACAAGCCAGTTCTGGGTCCCTCTTCCCCATCTGTGTGTGGGTCAGTGCTGAGTGGCACCTGGATGTGGCATAGGGCATTGTGAAGTTCAATGGCGTAGCCATCGTTCAGAACGGCTTTCCTAAGCCACTGCCCTTGACTTTGCTCGTGACTGGGAGGGAGTGTGCACAGAGGATGTGTCAGTCCACCTCCAGGAGGAATGGCCAGCTTTGCCATTTCACCAGGTTTAACTTGAGCAGCAGGGAATGGAGCCTGCGTCCTACGGAGCCAGAGGTTCCTGGGCCAGACTGGAGCCCACCGTGGATTACCACAGCAGCTGAGAATCAGAGACCAGCGGTGAGACAGAGCTGACCTGGGACTGAGGCCGCACGCAGCTAGAGACGGGCTCTTTGTCCAAGCTTACGGGAGGACTGAGGGGGATGCAGCAGGATCAGGCAGGATGAAGAGAGCCTTGTGTGGCTGGCCCGATGCCACAGGGTGAAGGCGGAAGGGCTGGCTGGCATGCTTCGAAAGCCGTTCTGATTGAGGGATTGTATCCCATTGCTAATTGGAGTTGTTCCTGTCAATTTCCTTAATAGACCCCATAATGGTGAGTGTGGTTCTGTGAGGTCCATGTAGCTATTGTAATGGGCTTCAGATGCACCAGATCAGGAGAAGGGGCTGGAATTAGATGTCTGTCAGGAGTGGAAGGTATGGCTGGTCTCAGGGAAGGTAGTGTTACGTTGTGGACACTCTTGATGGGGGCAGTTTCCTTCGTGAGTTAGTAGAGGTCAGTGGAGCCCTGAGGGTGGAGTGTCAAGGTGATCACCAGGCCTTTCTTCTGAGACACAGCTGGGTGGACTGGACTCCCAGCTCTTTGGTCAGTGGTGAGGGTACAAGTCATTCACCTCATCTAGAGCCTCTGAGAAGTGTCCCTTCCTATAAGGCAGAGCTTCTTCACAGTGTCCACTGTAGGGCTCTCCACCACTGTGTCCAACACAGAACCTCCCTACTCACTTTGTCCTGTACAGGGCCTTCCCACTCACTGTATTCACGATAGGACCTTCCTCACTCTGTCCACGGCAGGACCTCCCCACCCTGCCCACGACAGGACCATCCCCACTGTGTCCACTGCTAGACCTTCCACTGTGTCCACAGCAGGACCTCTATTGTGTCCATTATAGGACCTCCCACTATGTCCACTAAAGGACCTTGACCTACAGTGACCCTACAGTAGATTTACCATAGGGGGCATGACCTTGACCCACAGTGTCCCTCAGGTAGAGTTACAACAGGAGGGCACGACCTAGACCCAGAGTGGCCCTGGTGTAGAAGGAACTCACCACAGGACAGCATGACGCTGACCCATAGTGACCCTAGTATGCTAGGAAGGACTTACCACAGGAGGGCATGACCTTGACCCACAGTGACCCTAGGATGGTAGGAGGGATTTACCACAGGAGGGTGTGACCGTGACCCAGTGACCCTAGGGTCGAGTTACCATAGGAGTGCATGATCTTGACCCACAATGACCCTGGTGTAGGAGGGACTCCCCACTGGTCAGCATGGCCTTGATCCAGAGTGCCCCCAGGGAGGTACTCACCACAGGTGGGCACATCCTCCTCGGCCGATGAGGTCTGCTCGTCTGTGGATGGCTTCTTCTTCCCCAGCCCAATGATCTTGGTGAGCTTGGCCCCGGTCACCTTGGACACTGTGCCCTTGCCCTCTGCTTTCGAGCTCTTCTTCCTCTTCACTGTGAGAACAACACGGTGGGGTCAGCACCTTCCTTCTGGGGGAGGGGGATGTCACAGCATGTGCCGCTTGCCTGCGTGGACTTGTGGAGGCCCTGCTGAGGGCCAGTGCTGAGGGTCAGTGCTGAGGGCCAGCACTGAGGGCCAGCTCTGAGGGCCAGCTGTTGAGGGCCAGCTCTGAGGGTCAGCACTGAGGGACAGCTCGAGGGCCAGCTCTGAGGGCCAGCGCTGAGGGCCAGCTACAGGCAGACATGGCAGCAGATGGGGTCACAGCAGGGAATGGGGTGTATGCAGGAATGATTCCCTGGGGAGTAGACTATAGTGGGGAGTAAGCTTGGGACTCCCCTACACAGACACAGGAGTTAGAGTCATAGTGAAGATCAGGGTGCACATGGGAAGGTTCCACCGGGCCATAGAAGATGGTCCTAGGGAGAAGGGGGTGCATGCAGGGCGTCCACCCTGGGGCAGATTGAGGACACACACACACACACACACACACACACACACACACACACACATGCACGAGCCCGCAGATCCCCCAGGAGCTAGGTGAGAGACAGAGACGAGAGCCCTCAGAGCCCTAGAGGAGTTTGTACAGTGGCACCCTGACCTCAGGCCTTGGCCTTGGCCCCTAGAACTCTTGTTCTTACAAATGCACTGTGGGTGAACCGATTCTGACCCACAGTGACAGAACAGAGGAGGACTGTCCCACCAGGCAGCCACCTTCAGGGAGTGGACTATCCCACCTCCCTCGTGAAGGCCCACCGGCGGATTCCAACCATCAGCCATTTCCATTAGCAGTGGGTGCTTAATCACCGTGCCATCAGAGCACCAAAGGATCACAGCCGGACCCGAGGAGAGAGAGCTCAAAGTCACAGCCTGGTTGCCATGAGCACATCTACACTCACCCAGTGGGGGTTGGGGGCTGGCGATGCCCAGAGCTGTTCACATGGCAGCATGTCCACACTCATGGAGTTGGCCACAGGGTGGCATGCCCGTGCCCACAGAGTTGGCCACATGGAGGTGAGTCTGCACCCACCAGGTTGGCCACACAGTGGTGTGTTCACACCCACAGAGCTGGCCGCACAGCAACATGTCCACGCCCACAGAGCTAGCTACATGGTGGCAAGTCTGAGCCCACAGAGCTGTCCACACAGTGGCATGTCCACATCCACAGAGCAGGCCACACAGCGATGTGCTCATGCCCAGAGCTGGCCACGCCCACAGAGCTGGCTACATGGTGGCAAGTCTGAGCCCACAGAGCTGTCAATACAGTGGCATGTCCACATCCACAGAGCAGGCCACACAGTGATGTGCTCACGCCCAAAGCTGGCCACGCCCACAGAGCTGGCCACACAATGTCATGTCCATGCACACAGAGCTGTCCACATAGTGGTATGTCAGCACTGACAGTTGGCTACATGGTGGCATGTCACACCCACAGAGCTGACCACACAGTGGCATGTCTGTGCCCACAGAGTTGGCCACACGGTGGCGTGTCCACATCCACAGAACCACCCACATGGTGGCATGTCCACGCCCATGGAGCTGGCCACACAGCCATGTGTCACGCCAGCTGGCATGTGTCAGTCTGAGCGGCACTCACCTGGCTCCTTCCCATTGGACATGGCTGTGCCGTTCTCTGTGGCACCCTCCCCGTCGGAGCTCGGCCGCTCTGAGGACAGCTTCTGTTGAGAGATGAGCGAAGGACACTGGTCTCATCGAGCCATGTGGCTTTAGTGTCTCACAGATCAAGGAATCACCTTCGCCAACTTGAGGGACAGAGGGTCAGGTTCACAAGGACCTCAGTCAGGGCTCAGCTATGACCTCAGTGTTCAGAACCCCAGACAGGAGGGCGAGCTTGACGCAGGCACTGATGGAGCTCAGAGGTGCTCCGCCCCATCCAGATGAGCACATCCCCAGCACCCACGGTGCTCTGTGCAGGGGGCTCTGGTGGGGAAAGGCCACAGATCTGGTGGTTAAAATCCACCAGCTGCTCTGCAGAAGCAGGACGGGCACTCCCTCCCACTGCAGCTCACGGCCTCAGAAACCCGAGGGGGGTGACTACGCGGTGGAGTGGAGGGGCAGCAGGAAGTGAGTGACCGCACTGCAAAGTGTGCAACAGTGTTGTGAAGAGTTTGAAATATCGCACGCATGACAGATGCAGAAGAATGGCACCGAGAGTTAACGACCCTCTGTAGTGAGGTATTATGGTCAGTCGTGGGAATGTGATGTAAGCGCATCACCTGATGCACGTTGATGTAATGGGACATAATGTTCTTCCGTAAGGTGATGCTGTGACGGGCAGTGACAGGAAGCTGTCACCACCCGTGTGATGACGTGGTGCATGGGATTATATTCCACAGTGTGACACAACAAAGCCAACGACATTCCATATGGTCAAGGGACACAGCGCATCACAATGTCATGTCAGGGACCGCTCCCTCAGTGCCATGGAGTCGGCTCAGACTCAGCTCACCACCCACCAAGTGTCCAACGTTCCCAAGGATCGACTGGTGGATTTGAACTTCCAGAGAAGCTTCCTACAGAAGCAACGCAGCTTCCTACAGACTCCACCACAGAGCTATATAATAACATAGTGTCACATAACGTTATGTAACCAATAAAGTGTGACATATGTAACATAGTGTAGCACAGCATGACGTAATGTAACACAGAGTGACATAGAGTAACAGCTTAGCTTGATGTAAGGTAACATAGCAGGGTGTGAGGTAGGTGGTATAGTGGGAAGCAGCGTAGCTGAGGAAACAGTGTGGTGCAGTGTGATACGAGGTAACATATTAACCCTTCATAATGTAACAGTGATTACGCGATGTGCTCTAACGTGGTCCAGCATCAGCACGGACTCCGGCAGCCCCCTTTCTCTCTCCTTACACTCGACATCTCTGCCACTTGAACCTCCCCATCCTGGCCCACAAGCACACAGGAGGGTCCAGTGTCCTACTGGGTGTGGGGGATTGTGGACCCAAGTCCATGACATTGACCCTAACCTACCGCAGCTGATCCTCTGAAGGAAATCAGTCTCAGTCTTCACTTTTCACAGACACCCACACACTCTTACACACTCTGGCTCACTCACACACATCCTCTCTCTCACACTTTCACATACATACAGTCATACACTCTTACACATTCTCTCTCACTCTCTCATACACACACATACACACACACACACTCTCACATCCTCTTTCATACAGAGTCACACACTTACACAAACACATACATTCTCTCTCACACACACATCTTCACACATCCTCTCTCGCACAAATACAGTACACACTCTTACACACACACCGCACCCCTCACTGAGTTTGCCTCCCGCCCCCCTGGCCGAGTCTCACCTTCTCCAGCTCGGCCTTGTGCACGGGGGAGCTGCAGGGAGCAGAGCACTCGGCCTCCACGGGCATGCTGCACCCACTGTAGACTTCCTTTATCACCTAGAACAAGACAGACGAGGTGAGCACACTGAGGGTGGAGATGCCGGAGCGAGAACTAACCCCACAGCAAGCCAGGCAAAGGCCGCTGGACCCAGGAGAGGACTGTCCAGGGAGAGAGTCTGCACCTCTGTGCACCCCCATTCCCCATTATCTGACACAGGACAAAGATCTGGGGACAACACATCTGGGCAGGGTACCCCTGCCAGCGTCACTGACACGTCCAGCTGACGGGCAGAAAACTGTCCACTAGGCTTTTCTAGGCTGTAATCTCTGGAAAAGCAGATCAGTGGGTCTTCCTCCTGCAAAGCCATGGAGAGGACTGACCCTCCAATCCTGGTCTTATCCTTTTAAACAACCAATCAGACATAGGAAGGGTGTGGAGAGGAAGCAGGGCCTGGTCAGGCAGAGCATCAGAGCAGGCAGGAGGCTGGGCCCCACACATGTGCAGGGTCACACCAAGCAGGAGATTGGGCCCCACAGACATGTGGGGTCAGGCCAGGCAGGAGATTGGACCCCACAGACGTGCGGGGAGAAACAACGACACTTTAGTGGGAGAAGCAGGGTTACGTTGTACTAGAGGTCAGAAGTGTCTGCTTTTATCAGAGCTCTGTCTTTGATGAGATCAAGAAGCACAATGTGCTTGACAGCCCACCCTAGAAACACAGATGCAGCAATAAAAATACAAATTATGCTAAGTGAACTAACTCAGTCTCATAAAGACAAATGCTGTGTAAGACCATTATTGTAGAATGGGTATGAGGATCCAAGGGTGGGGGACTTAATCATAGGGTCACACAATTTGATGGCTGGAGGGAGGAGTGGGTAAAGGAAAAGAGAAAAATCTGATGTGGAAAACAATGCATACGAACTTTATGAACTTTATAAGTAAACCAGTATTAAAAAAAAATCCCAATAAAAAAGCTCCACTGCCCCCAAATAGATGGCTTGATATCCATTACATAGTGTATAACAAGCACAGCAGTAAAACAGAAAAAAACCATGAATTTAACTTTTTAAGGTATTTTGCTTTTATTATTTATTAATCTTTAATGTTTGCACAATACACTTGTGCTCTAAAAATAGTTAAAAGGGAAATAACATGAGATGATAGCTTGCTGTTGTTGTTATGTGCTGTCGAGTTGCCTGCGACTCATAGCGACCCTATGTACAACAGCCCTAAACTCCGCTCTGTCCTGTGCCAATCGCACTGTCTCCGGCACTCCCATCCTAACTATCCCAGTCACTGAATCAAACCACCTCATAGAGGGTCTTCCCCTCCTGTGCCGTCCCTCCACCCTCCCAAGCATGATGTCCGTCTCTAAGGACTGGTCCCTCCTCACAACATGTCCAAAGTATGTAAGACGGAGCCTCAGAATCCTTGCCTCCAAGGAGCCACCCAGTTTAACCCTTTCCAGGACAAATCTGTTTGTTTTCCTAGCAGTCCATGGTATTCTCAATACTCTTCTCCAGCACCACAGCTCAAAGGCATCAATTCTCCTTCTATCCTCCTTGGTCATTGTCCAACTCTCTGATGCAAAACAAGTGATTGCGAAGACCATGGCCTGTATCAGATGCACCTTAGTCTCCAGAGAGACACCATTGCTCTTCAGTACTTTGGAGAGGTCCCTAACAGCAGACTTTCCCATGGCAATGTGCCTTTTAATTTCCTGGCTGCTGGTGCCAAGACTGTTGACTGTGGAGCCAAGAAAACTAAAGCTGTGTACAATCTCAATCTCTTCACCATCCATCCTGATGCTGCCAATTGGTCCAGTGGTGAGAATCTTTGTCTTTTTAACATTGAGCCTCAATCCATATTTGATATGGATGATAGCTAGCTTTGTTTAATGTCTTATGAAATGTTCATGAACAACCCACGCATAATTGTTGAGAACATGTATTAAATTGATGTAAATGGAATAAAACTTTTATGGGTGAAAAAACCCCCAAAATTTAAAAAAACCCAGCAAACAGAAAAATGTTGCCATCTATTGGTGCCTCAGGTGGGTCAAAGGGGAAGGCCCCCCACTGCATCCCACAACCCTGGTCTCTTAGTGGGGGGGTCTGTAGGCACCCAGGCACCCTGTGAGGGTGTGACCACCTGTCTCTTAGCAGCTGAGAGTGTTACTGCAGGAAGTACCTGGGGCCCCCACGTGAGGACAGGTTCTAAAGAGTAAAGGTCTAAAAATGGAGTAAGCGACTGTCAGACGCCGCTGGACACCCGTCAAAACAGCTACAGTCTCAACCTGAAAAGACCAAGTGCGCACGAGGATGGACAGGGGTCACTGCTGCCCACGAGGATGGATGGGGGTCACTGCTGCACCTGAGGATGGACAGGGGTCACTGCTGCCCATGAGGATGGACGGGGGTCACTGCTCCCCTTCACTAAAGGTGGAGCCACACAGCAGTGGGACATGGACAGTAGGACACATGGTGGTGGGATGCAGTCACATTGAAGACAGGCTGACCATGGACTAAGCCAAGCGCAGGCTCATCCCCTGATTCGCGATGGTAAACCTGCAAGGGGGCAGAGTGATGCTCCTGGGAAGCTTAGCCCAAGTTAATGACAATGTATCAGCACTGGCTTGTCAGTGGTAACACTGTATCACCGCCATGGAAACGACAGTAACAGTAACAGGAAAGCCGGCACACTGGTTGTCCAGAAGTACAGAGAAGAGTACACAGAGAAGCGCTGTCTGTGCTTCTACACAATTTTCCTGTAAATTTACACCTGCTCTGAAAAATAACATCAACTGAGCTTGGTGACCTAGCGGTAAGGAGCGACACAGACCCAGAAGCATGTGGTTCCGGTCTACCAGCTATCCCATGGGAGAGAGAGGAGCAGACTCCTCCCGTGTGATTCACAGCCTGCAAAACCCACTGGGGGACACACACAACTGCTGTGTGAGGAACATGGCAGAGGGCAGAGAGACTCAACAACCTGAGTCCTGCGGATAGCACAGCCTCGCTTACAGAAAGTGAAGACGCTCAGACTACAGCCTTCGGTACAGATGGCACCCCAACATCAGGAAAACAAATATCCTGATAGATGGATAAAAGAGTAAGTTGCCAATACTGCTTTTTACTTGGATCCACAAGCAATGCCCATGAAAGAAGCAGTTAACAAATAAAACAATGTATTTTGCACTGGCAAATCTGCCACCAAGGACTTCTTCAACATGTAAAGAGCAAGGATATCACTTTGAGGACTACGGTGTGCCTGCCACAAGTCATGATATTTCCAGTCACTTCTTAGAACTGTGGCAGTTGGACAATGGACAATGGTGGATGGCAGAGGCATTGCTGCCTTTCATTTGTGATGTTGGTGATGAATACTGAACACACTGAGAACTGCCTGAGGAGAGAACAGGTCTGTACTGCAGAAGCACGTACTGAGCAGGTTAGCTGGAGGTGACACCAAGACTCAAGCTCACATGCTCTGTGCAGGTTATCAGGAGAGGCTAGTCCTGGAGAGGACACATGCTTGGTAAAGTAGTTGTTGTTAGGTGTCATCAAGTTGAGTATGATTCACAGTAACGTTATAAACAACAGATCTGAGCCATGACCTGTCCTGTGCCATCCTAGCCATCTCTGACACACCTGAACTCTGTCCTGTGCTGTCCTCACTGTCTCTGACACACCTGAACTCTGACCTGTCCTGTGCCGTCCTCTTCGTCTCTGACACACCTGAGCCCTGTCCTGTCTTGTGCCGTCCTCACCGTCTCTGACACATCTGAGCTGTATCCTGTCCTGTGCCATCCTCACCGTCTCTGACACATCTGAGCCGTGTCCTGTGTCCTCTGACACACTTGGGTCCACTGCTGCAGCCACTGTGTCAGTCTATCTTATCGAGGGCCTTCCTCTCGTTAGCTGACCCTCCACTTTTCCAAGCATGATGTCTCAGCCCCTCATATTAAAGAATGTTTGAGGCTGTTTCTCTTTTTTATTAACTTGTGATCTGGGCTGTACCTGGGTTCCTCTGTTGTTCACAGGTCTTCAGAGGTCTGCTATCTCAGAAATGGACGGCCAATCCTTCCTAGTTGTGTTAACCTGGGAGCTCTGTGGAAACCTATCCACCATGGGTGACCCTTCTGGTATTTGGCACACGGGTGGTAAAGCTTCCAGCATCACAGCACCCACAAGTTACCTCAGTACAGCAGACTGACAGACAAGTGCTTCACTAATAACAGCAAATGATAAAGGAGCATAGACACACGTGATACAGTAACTAGCAATATGCAGTCATGGCAGTAGGGTCGAGAGTTACCAAAACAGAGGAAGGCCATTCGGAAGGGGGCCCCACAGGGTTCCCATGACAATAAGCACAGATGTGGCAAGACCACGAGGCTGTGGGGCCTGTGGGGCCAGTTCTGTGGGGCGGAGCTAGTCCCGTGGGAAGGAGCTGGTTCTGTGGGGCGGGGCCAGTTCTGTGGGGCGGGGTCATTCTGTGAGGCAGAGCCAGTTCTGTGGGGCGGGGCCAGTTCTGTGAGGCGGGGCCAGTTCTGTGGGGCGGGGCAGTTCTGTGGGGTGGGGCAGTTCTGTGCCGAGGAGCTAGTCCCGTGGGAAGGAGCTGCTTCTGTGGGGCTGGGCACAGTTGGTTCTGCTGTGCATGGGGTTGTGAGTTGGAACTGACTTGATGGCATCTGTTGACAACAGCCAGAAGATGACAGCCAGAAAGCACTGTTAGGAGCCACATCCAGGTCAGTGCTCCACACTGGCCACCTGGACTCATGGTCAGTGGACCCTGTTCCTCTCCTTGGACCACAGCAGGTACTGTCCAGCACATGGAGGTCTGTGACTGACAGACTGTGCACATGGGTCTCAGGAGGCATCTCACCATGCATTCGGTTCTTTATAAGCGCAGCCCATTGGGAGCCTCCGGGGTGCATGTGGATGGACAAGACAAGGTGGCCCTGAAATTACTCACTTTTCAGCCCAGCGAGGAGCCAATTTTGGGGGCTGGGGGGGCTTGGTGGCCACAGGTGAGCCCGACAGAGCTGGAA